TATGTAAATATAAAAGTGGACATTAAAGTCAACACACAGAGATGAAAGTCTTTTTCATGCTAAATACAATTGTCAGGCACATGGCCTGAAAATTATGCTTATCATGAAATAGATTGTCACCTCTGGTTGTTGACTTCAATATATATATATATATTTTTAAATTTATATATTTAGGCAACAAATTCTCTTTTAGACATGTCTGATTGAATAAATTACAGACATTAGGTCTGCTAATTTTTAACAAAATCCGTTCATACTCACGAATAACCTTCCATGTATTGATGTTAAAGGATGAGATAAATGTGCTATAGCTGTTTAAATTTCTTTTATTTCCATTTCCTAAGTATAATGAAAAAATTACAGTAATGGATGACAATGCACATCTTTATATAAATACTTATATTCATGAACAACATATAGTTTTGTACCACTTGCACCCCTGAAGATGATCTTGGAAAAAGATCGAAAGTACATGATTGCAATAATTATTAATTCTGTAGTGAACGGGCCATTCAGATTTTCCTACATATTGTTTCTGGCATAGTGTGCATTCTAGGAGGTAAATTATGTTATGACTTCTACAGTTAGAATTAGTTATATATATATATATATATATATATATATATATATATATATATATATATATATAGTCATCCACAGACAGACTTTTTCACTGTATCACAGCTCATCAGTGTGGCTAAACATCCAATCATTTCAGACAAGGACCAAAACCCAACCCATAGAGATTCTAAGCCCTAGGCCATCAATGCCTGTCAGAGAGAAATGTGCCAGTTTCATTGAAAACAATATATGCATTGTTTTATGTATCTCTCTAGAATTATAGAAATGTTTTATTTTCTATATCCAGTCGGCATATTTGTCATCATGTTCAAAATTGATAATATGGAGTGTTGGCTTTTTCTTTTTTACTAATAATACTTCCATTACATTTTTAGCCTTTTTGTACATGCGGATGATGCTATTTATATTTGTATTATCAACAAGTATGTTAGAGTTTGGTAGGTCTCTATGTGTATTTAAATGAGACCTTATGAGCTATGGTCAGAGAGATGTGACATGAGTCTTCTTGTTAAACATGTTCTAGTTTAATCCAATCCAATTGTAATCCAATACAATTATTTGCAAATTTGGGTTGGCTAGGAATACAGCTCCTTAAAGGACATGTAAATTTGTAAATAATATTAGTTCTCTGTAATGTAGATCTTGCAGGTGAATTATTATTTTTGATGATGAGGTTAGTGGTTTAACATTTTTTGTAATAAATAATTAATTTAATTTTATTGTTTTTGTCAACTGGAGTTGTATGTTTTTTTTATGATGTATCTAAGTGAAGATTCATCTTGCTTATTGTACTATGCATTTGGTTTTTTGTAGAAAATGTTAATGTTATTGTTAATTTTAAATATTAAAAAAAAATTATACAAACACAAGAAATTATATAAATAAACTTAACCACCACATATTGTCAGTATATTGTCATGTATATATATAGATAGATATAATTATTTATTTAAAAATATGATTCCATCGCTACATAAGAGTTCTCAGTATAATTATTTGAATTAAATTGAGTTAAAGTACCAAGCTATGTTCCATCTTCAAGTGAAATTTTTTGGATATAGATATATATATTACACAACAAAGAAATCCTAGATTACTTCATGGCCAGCCATCATGACATAATTTTGGATTTCTCTGTTGATGATGAAGAAATGACCCAAAATCTTTGTTATTATTAAGAGGAAAGACCATGGAATCTTTAAACTATTAAATAATATTTTTTTAACCTTTTTAGAAACTTCAAATTTTTGGTTAAAAATTTTGTTTTTCCTGCATCTGTGGGTAACCATAAATTAGTAAGGGAAATTTTAGCATCTTTTGTACAATGCAAAGTGCACTGATTTGGAAATTCTTAAAAAAAATCAGAAAATTTCTGTCTATATCTCTGAGCTGAGGTATTATGATTACTTGCAATATTTACATTATTCAGACTGTTATCCTCATCTTCATTGCTATATTGACAATGTTTTGGTCATTGTACACTCCATTGATTGGAATTCAAACTGAAACTTTTATTTTGTCTACTGGAGTAGATTGCTCTAGTTCCACATGTCATGCTTCTTCCGGATGTCTCTCCAAGTCTTGGTTTACCATTGCTGTGACCTTGTATTGAACTCACAACTCTTTGGGTCTAATCACTGGATCTAACCACCATCTACTGGGCCATATAAAAAGGACACTATTAAGGACACTATTGTATTCAGAAAAAAACTATTTTGATGAATAATAAATTTTTACAAGAATTGTTTTCATTTTTTAAAAATTTTCATTAGAACAATTTATAAACTCTTAAATTTTTAAAAATTGCATTTTAATTGGTAGTGGTCAAGAGTTATTGTTATTAAATTAAGATTGTATTTAATAAACATAAATAGAAAAACTTACTATATTTCAGGGATCCCCAATATTTTAAAAAAGA